CACCCTCTGGTAATCAACTGGAAGTGGCTGAGAGCTTTAAGTAATTCAGGAGCGTGATCGTAGGTGGTGGTGATGTTGGGGAGATCACATAATGAATAGCGAAAGCTAGAGCAGCTTTCGTCGACCTGTGACAGCCGTGGCGCCGCCATGACATCTGACTGTCCCGTAAAGAAAGGGTTTACATCGCCGCGGTTCGTAATGTTCTACTTTACAGCTGCGAGGCCCCCCCGCATTGAGGTCACTAATCGACTTTCTGTATTCGACCACCGATTTCTCCGAAGCACTACTCGTTTCTGGTGGGAACATCGGGTGAGCAATGACGAGGTTCGTCGTCGTGTTTTGGGTGTGGATAGTCGCTCTCTAACAGAAGTAATCGCTCTACATAGCCCCCAATGTCTTATTCACGAATGGCGTATGCCTGCTCATCGAATATCTTTCTGTACTCTCTGCACGTGCCGGGCAAGGCTGTAAGAAGCGTCGCGGGGGTCAGACCATGATTGGTGTAGAGGTAAGAAGAGGCTGGTTTTAGTTATGGCTTCGGTTGGCGCAGTCCGCCTTCTAGGTTGGGGCCCAAGGGATGCGGATTGTCGTTGGTTAGAGACGCTGAGAGCTATAGCCCAAAATAGAATCCAGTGGCGCGAATGCTGTACGGTGTGCCTGTTAAAATCCCGTGCGCCATAAAAAACCCAATAAACCAACACTACCAATATAAAAATGTGTACGGTGAAACAAACAAATAGATTGTTTTTCTCGTCAATCAACTTAACTATCTGACTCCCTTTTACTTTGCCATGTACCCCAATTCCCCAAATTTTGTTTTTCCTGTTTTTTTTCGTTGGCACAAAGCTTGCTCCCAAGCCATTGATATATATATCAACCTGACTGACGATCTAACCTGGGGCCTCATTGGCTATGTCAGCAAGTATGCAAAAATTGCCCAACAATGATCTAATATTGTATTTTATTTGCACGTGTGTAATTATGTGAGTATATGGATGATAGTTCAAGGTACTTTTGCTAGGAGTAGCCATTCAGAGCTGTTAGATCGTGCTCATTGTGGGGTTCCTTTCTTCCTCCTTGATCTTCATCATTTACCAAACTCTCGCTTCTGACTCCACGTTGCTGGGGTACGCAACAACACAGGTTTAAACCCGAAAAAAGTTAAGGGTAGTCCAGGACTTCAAATATTCGGCGATCGTTACGCCAAGACAGCCATCCTTCATTAGATTGACGAGATCTCTTTGCCGGTGTTACATATCAGAATGGATGCGTCGTTTTCACATTCATCGATTGATGAATGACGTCCTTTTGAGCCCAGTGTCAACCACTGCCTTGCAGTTCGCTCTTGGTTGTGCAGTGGATAGAAGTGTGCTCTCGAAAAGAGCGGGATGACTCTGGGCGCATGTTTTGTACGAAACTCTCATGAAATATGATATCATTTATGGATTCCATGCATCCTTTTCAAAGAATCTGTCGAAGTTTTAGTTTAAAATATGATTGACTTTGTGAATGTACAACAGGACCGCTTATATGGAAATTATAACCGGATTCGTTGTGTGAGCAGTGTTACAATACGTCAATTGAAAGAGGCTAACATCATCAGTGCTCAGCGATATTGCATGTGCTACGTTTTCCGCGTATCGCCTTAATCTTTATCGGTCGAATAACTAAGGTGAAGCTTATTGCCGGCTTTTTGACTATTCCTTTCTGAAGTAACGAGATAGTGCGTATCAATTCCCCTTCTTGAAAAGCTTGATGAGAGAAATAGATATGTCGAAGGTGAAATGATCTTTAGTGTTATGGAATCCCTTTATGCACTTGAAAAAGGACAGAGTACGAATGGTGAGTTTCAGTTATTAGTGCCACTGGAACGTCAGGAACGCTCAGAGTTGACTTGATTAGCGCTACAAATATCAGGGCCTGCTGGTGAAACGGCATAGGCTACCTTCAGATCCACTCAAAATTGACTCATTCGGGCCACATCACTACCACTGTATTACATATATACAGTGATAATACATTGAACGTGCAGCCGGTTCAGGGCCCCATTTCTCCGGGACGAGATGCTAGACACGATGGATGTCTAACTGTAACAACTGTCTGTGTTACAGAAGCTGCACTAATATTCTCAGGGATAAGATAGCTTACGATGCTTACTTTGTAATCAAAAATAAACTCAAGTACATTCATTTCACCAGTCACATTTTGAACTACCTCTCTGCTTCTTTATTACTGGATGTGTGAATTTGATTTACTCATTTTGTACTCCCCTGTGTTCAGGAACCTATTTTGTTCGTCATACGCAAACAGCGTCGTCTGTCCAGTACGGAAGTTACTCCACTGGCCTACTACTATATAATCAACGGGACTGTGTTACAAGCTCCCGATTTAGGAGCTCTGCTCAACTCTCGTCTATTGACTACGGTCAATAATTTGACGAAAACGCTACAGGCAAGTCAACCGGTTCTGTGTGTGTGTACATATGATTATTAGTGGTTGTTGACAGTTTTGAAAGCATGAATGCAACAGTGCATCAAGTATGAGCTGGTTGGCCTTTCATGCGTTGGGTCCGGAGTTCAAATCCCGGACGGGATGGTGGATATGCACTACTGATGAGCTTCAGTAAGAGCGAAACTCCAGTCTAGTGCTTCCGAGCGTTTGGTTGAATCGTGGAATTGAAGATTGTGCATGAAGGTGAATTTCGAAGGATAGTCAGCTCAAATCAATAAAGATTGTTTTTAATCGGAAATGAATATCAAATCATACCATTAATTCACAAATGAACGGTTTAGAGTACAAGTTGTCACGAAACGTACTCCGCTAGTCGCCGATTTGAGATTTGTGATGAATTTAACAATAAGTGTTATCTCCTAATAACCCGATCAATCTTCCATGGGAACACATGACCAGTCTCGCGGTTTCCAAAACTTGTCAACTATGCGTATCTGGTATCCTTTCCTCAACACATTCATGTGTTTCTATCCAGTATACGTATCTTCTTCACGGATATCTGCTGTGAATTATAGGGTGTTTTTCGACGAGTAGGCTTTTATTAATCGGTCCGTTTATGAATTATTAGTATGATTCCATGTGTAGGTAGATGCTATAACACAAAACCGACCGTTACTACTCGATGCATTCATGCCATCACGACGAGACTGCACCTTGACGCGGTGTGATGGCTTGCATGCCTCCATGACCCTGCGAGCTACACAGGATGGCTGCTCACAGCCGTAGATCCAATCATGCCTGAA